GGGAAATAAGTTCTGCATATTCTGCAAAATCGCTTTCAGATTTTGGAATAAAATTGTCAAGTGTCTTATCATCACCCTTCTTGGAAAACAATTCAGCAGTAGCTTTATAACCGGCTTCCTCAACAAGTCTGTACAAAAATTAGAAAAGCCCGCTTCGTGATTAACCATATCCATTTCAAGAAAAGTTAACAAGTGGCTGCAATATTGGCCTGAGCGACCAAAACAACCACCCACTCAGGAGTTAGGATTCCCCAAAGCTAGAGGGCCCCATTCCTCAAAGTTCTAGTTTTAATATCCTTTATAGTTAAATCTAAAGAACCAAATAAAAAATATTAATGTCCAAAAGAAAGAGTCTAATGGTTCGATTTGTAGATCTTGCATCCGTAAATACTAGAATAAAAATTAGAGCGAGGTATAACGGTTTTCAGTTGTAACTTTTACAATTCATTTTATTGAAAAAAATTCCAGTTATATACTTTTTTTCTCTCATATAAGGTCTCCATATGATGCTGAAAAATGGAAATTCTTCAAGTCCTAACACAAAAATAGATTATCTATAGATCAAGTTCACTAGTGACATACCAGACTACACCTGATCCATTTTAATTTCCTAAGCAAACAGATGAGATGATTCAGAAAGTAAACAAACTTAACAATCGAAAAACATACTCAGCAATGCCGATGAGCAACATAAACCCACCTCTGTTGACGGAGTTTTTCTTGTACAGGATCTAATGGTTCCTCCTTTGGAGAATCTTTTACAGCCTCCGTAGCTTTCATTTTCTTGTCACCTGATTTGGCAGCAGCCTTCTTAGGGGCCTTTTCGGATGGTGCTGACTCCACCTTTGGTGCCTTGAAGCATAATTTGAGGTCAGTAGAGAGAAAAAAATAATATCAAATGCAGATCAAAAGAATAAACCCAACACCTATCCAATAACCTCCTAACTTGCAGAAAAAAGAGAAGCCAAACGTAAATATATCCATTTCAAAAAGCATTGTACTGAGTGTTATGTAGTTTCAGGCAACCACGAAACTTTTGAACAATCATATAAAGAAAAGTCACAGATAAGAGTGATCTGTAACTATCAAAATGATTCTCCATGTTAAGCAACAATGGACAGACATTCAAAAAGTGCAAACAAAAATGTGCTGCAAGACAAAGGGTATTAAGAAACAGAGGCGACTAACACACTGATAAAGCAATAAAATTTAAAATTGCTTTAGTTTCATCCATAGATTCAAATTTAAAATTGAGCACGCAAAGCTAGACCAATTTACATACCGTAGCAGGCCCATCTTCATCTTCCCAAGATTCCTTTACATCGTCGATATCTTCATCATCCCAATTGGCCTTCAAAGGCTCTTTTTTCTTGAGAAGATCAGGAATAGGCTCATCTTCTGAAGCACCAAACAGTTTTAACAATCAAGAAACTACACTACTAGCGAAAGTAACAAGAAAAAATTGACTTTAACTGATGTTACCAATGCATAGAGATGCATAAGGAGAAGATAATAAACAGTATGAATTTATATATAAAAAATCAACAGATCATCAATTAGGAACTCCCTGACTCTGAGATACAAAGGAACTCCTCCAGATTTAGTTAATTTATTAAACGAAGGTTAATCCCCAAGAGTACCACCCTCTGGCTATTCAATGTCATATGCAACCAAGCAACCTCTTTTACACTAATCAACCAACAATATCCCATATAACAATTCAAGGCACATGATGATGTCGGTTTTATGTACTCGATCAGACAACATCAACTACGCAGGTTAAAACAGAACGAACAATAAATTGCATTGATGAAAAGCAACTGAAGAAAACCTAAGAACGGAACATAATCATATGTTCAAAAATGCAAAAAATAAAAGAAAATAAGAAACAGTCTAAGCAGCCTGAAAGAGAATGCCTCTTCACAAATTCAAATTAAGTTAACTTGATCAAGTCATATATATCAGTTATTATAAAAGTATTTGTCAAACTCAAATCAGCCTAACCAAAGCCGTGCAGTGAAACGCATACAAGAAATCTGAAAATGTCAAATAGATCAAGCTAAAACTATCATAAATAATCTAGATAAACTTAGATAAACTATAAAGGTTAGGATAAAAATATAGAAGAGATGAAATTACCCCAGTCCTCCATCTAAGTGTCTATCCTTCTTAACAAACTGAAAGCACTGAATTGTACAGCAACTCCCTGAGTTAAAAAAAAAAAAAAAAAATGTAAGAAATCAGCAAACAAACCAAATCAAGGCAAAAGTGGAAGCTCATGATAATGCATCAAGGAACAATAATTGCACTCAATAGATGAATCCATAATCAAACTGATAATCATACAGATAAACCCAAATCCACCAAAGTGATAATTAATGCAAAAAACAAAAATAAAAAAATGTCAAGAACTAAAAATTTCACAAATTGAAGGGACCTGTCAGGAGATAAACATTCAACATATCAAATTATTCCATAACCTTTGCATCCTTTTTACAAAGTTCATATTCATATTGTGTTCTTTGTGTTCTTTTCTACCTTGGGAGTTCAAAACATAAGTATTGTTGCCGAAGGTTCGTGTATTTGAGTTACCGCTATACACAAATTATAAGTCGTTGTATCTTTGAGGCGTTAGCCGTGAACCGTGGGTATTATACGGGGCTATTTCGTCTTAAGGAGAGCGTATCTTACGTGCCTCGACTTTATTCATTTTACCATTTTCGTTCTGATTTCTTAAGCCATTTTCTAAAACTTCACATAACAAAAATAAACTACAATCTATTCTTTCAAAAGTCTCACAAAGCAAAACAATCCCAGAAATTTAACGATATAGATCTCTTCTCTTTTAAGAGACACATATATTTTTTGAATTTTTACGGTCGAGCCCCACGTCTGTAAACTAACGCCATACCCATCGGGCTGAAACTCCTCCACAATCGCCCAAGTATCGAAGTTGTGGCCTGATATTCCTACCGCCGATAACGAAATCATCACTGGCCGACCTTGTTGCAGCCTAGACCTCTACATCGCACAGGGGCCTACTTAAATTGCCGTCGAACTACGAAATTCCACTGCCAGTTCGAGCCGACTCCTCACCACAACCACCGGAACCGACCTTACTTTTCCCCGAGCTGCACTCAACCGGCCAGGACCTACTTCACCTCCTCTGACCGACCACCGATCTGACAAGCCGGCCGGAACTGACATCGTGTCCCCAAACCGAACTCATTTTTCTGACTTTGAAGTTCACTGGCATCACAACTCGGTTTCCACTGCGCTACTTGGGCCCGAGTTCAGATCTCCAAAACACGACCGACCTCATTATCTCCGGTCTCAGAAGTCGGAGACATCGTCACTATCCCTGATTTGAGCCACTGTCGGACCGACTTCATCACGGCCGTCAGAGCCGACCTCACCACTGACGGTTGGAACTGACCTCTCAACAGAATGGGTCCGACTTTAACTTTTTCAGACTGATTTCAATCTATTCGACCTCAAGACAACTGACCTTACGGTCGGTCCCGACTTCACGACCGACTACCAACCTCAACAACCATTGTCGATTTCGCAACCCCGGCCCGACTTCACGACCAGCGGGCCTAAAAAATCTAAGCCCAGACCCGACCTCCAAACCTTCATCTCTGATTTTAGTCGCGGCCACGTACAACCACGCCAAAGTCGCTAACCTCAATTGCAACATCGGCCCCTACTTCACCATTGTTGGGACCCCGATGTCGGATCCTACCAACCTCTTCATTCCAAATCGGCTTCAGCCTTCCCGACTTCAATGTTGTTGGGACCTCAAAGTCGGATCCGACCGACCTTATCATTTTTAAGTACGATTCGGCGTAGACGTGGCCAAGTGCCGGGTCCGGTCCCGGCCCGGCCCGCCGGGCCACGGGCCCTCAGACAGCCAAACCGCGACCGGCCCGCTAGGAACGAAGGGCCGGTTTATAGAATCGACCCGAACCGCTGGTTCACCGGCATCGGTGAGCGAAGTACGGGCGTGTCAGGTGCGAGGTGAGCAGTTTTCTTTGATTGATTTCCAGCTCCGGAGAAGGAAAGATGAACCAGCGGTTCACGGGCCGGTACGGCCCTTAAAAAAACAAAAAAATGGCCCGGCCCAGCCCGGCCCGCCAGAACAAAAAAAAAATGTGACCCTTAACCGGACTGGATTGGCCGCGGTCCGTTTCTCGAACCCGGCACTATTCATGCCGGTACCGGTATCGGGTCACGGGTCGGGCCACGGGCCGGGCCACTCGTGGCCATGTCTAATTCGGCGTGGAAATTAGTTCAAATGACTCTTTGTACACTACAAATCTATTGTTATATAAAGAGAGGAGCTACATAATTCAAAAATAGTAAGTAAAAATAATTCGAAATCCCGCTTAAAACCTAACTAAATATAGTAACCTTCTTTTAAAATTTTTCATTTGCCATGTTAGTGGACTTCCTATTTTTTTTGAAAATTTTCATGTGCCAATGTTAGTGGAGGATTTGATTTTCCCGATTTTTCATCCCAATTTTGTGGATATTTTGTGGGTACTCTCTTCTACATGATAGACATTAAAACTTTACCTCTTATCAGATAAGATAATATTCCATAGAGAATTAATAGGACACTCTCTGCATGATAGTTGAGCAAAATAAAGATAAATATTACTTGAAATTATGAGTTCGATTACAATTTTGTTCCTAATAATTAATATACTAATACTAATATTAATTTTTGTAATTAATATTATAATGAGATAATAATACATTATAGATAAATAATTTTCATAGGATTTGAAATCCCACTTAACATTGTGAAAACATATAGTTCATAATAATTTAATATGGTATGTTAGTTAATAATATTTTAAAAGCCCACAATTATTAATCATGTAGATACTTGTGAAAACAAAAAACTTTCATTTCCAAACTGTCAATTCATAGATTAAGATTAGTTGATTTATAATTTGAAATATATGGAATATTATCTGATAATAGTTTAAAGTCCTAATGTCTATCATGTAGAGATTTGTGTTCCACAAAACTCTAATTTGCAAACGGATTAATTTCAAAATTGGTCCTATAATTTGGCCACGGTCCAAAAAATTACCCCTATATTGACCACTTTCAAAATTGGTCCTATAATTTCAGAATTTAATCAAATTTGGTCCTTTTTTTAATCAAATTTGGTCCTATAATTTCAGAATTTAATCAAATTTGGTCCTTTTTTTAATCAAATTTGGTCCTATTTTAATAACATTATAATCCATGTTCCGGATAAAAAGGACCAAATTTGATTAAGTTTTGAAATTATAGAACCAATTTTGAAAGTGGTCAATATAGGGGTGGTTTTTTGGACTGTGGCCAAATTATAGCACCAATTTTAAAATTATGCCATTTGCAAACTAACAATGCCAAGATATATATTAACTCTCATCTACAATTTGGTTTATTAAATCTTCAAAACTCACCTAATAATTAATATACTAATTTTTGTAATTAATGAAATAATGCTATATTATATAGATAAATAATTGTTCATAGAATTTGGATTCCCACTTACTTATTATTAAATAAACTCCAACTTGCAAACTAACAATACCAAGATATATATTAACTCAGTGTCTACAATTTGGTTTATCAAATTTTCAAAACTCAATAACATACAAATTTATATCACAAAACTCAATAACATACAAATTTATATCAATTAATTTGATAATAAAAATCATAATGATAATAATTATTGGATGATATGGTTATATTAGTAGATACTATTTTATAACCGCATTATGTCTATCATAGTATCATGTAGACATTCGTTAAATTAAAACCATAATTTGCCAACTAACAATACCATGATAAATATTAGTTAATATACTAATTATTGAAATTGAGGAAATATTAGTTTATAAGATAAGATTTAAAGTCCGGTCCATGTGTTAATCATGTAGATATGTATTAATATATAATGAGGCAGTGATATTTACTTAAAATAGCAACTAAAAATCAGCAAAAAAACATTTGATTTCCTGCCTAAAGTGTTTACTATATTGAGTAATATTTTTGACCAAAAAATTTGAAAAGTCCCGCCTAAATTAATGTAATTAATGTACAGAATAATTTTGGTCAAATATTTCAGCTATTACCTTTATTAGTTGCATGATTTTAATTTGCAATATAATATATTGACAAAACTTGCAGTTATTACCTTTATTAGTTGCATGGTTTAAATTTGGTATATAATATATTGAAGAAAAATAAAAAGGTTTTTATTGAAAATTAAAATAAAAAGATAATTATTCATAATTTGTGGATCAATATTAACTTGAACGTAAACGAAATAGTCAGTTATGTTTAATATATTAATCAACTGTGTAATTGTTTTTATTTGAATATTTTATACAAAAATATATTATTTTAAGTAATGAAACGATATAAATTTTATATTTATACTTATTATTCACATAGGTTGTTAAACATATGATAATATTTTACCAAAATAACTATTTTATGGAATCACATTATAATCAAATCGAAATTATGAATAAAAATTTTGAAATTATACTTATTTTGAAACGAATATAATGTGATTTATTATCAGTTATGTGCACCACACGGGTTGTGTACTAATTTTGAATAGATATTTTTAGTAATTTTGTACAATTTAAACATTATAACATTTTTTATAAATTAGAATAAGTAATTGTATTATATATTGATTCCATATTATTAATTTATAAATATTGCTTAATAAGAACTTTTAATTTATAAATATTAGTGAATATCTCCTACCCGTGCACTGCACGGGACTCATACTAGTTGTTAAAATGACCCTTGACTAAAAAACAAAAAAAAATATATATATAAAATAACATTTAAGCTGGATATTACTCTTATACCCTCACTTCCTATCTTCTTCAAACTTAAAAAAAAAACCGAACACACACACACCATCTTCAAACTTAAAACAAAAAAAAAAAAACGAAATTCCTCATCTTTCTCTGCTCTGTCTCTCTGCGTCTCTCTGCGTCTCTCTCTCGACCTTCTCTCCGTTTTTCCTTCTAGCTCTCGCGACCGACGTTATGGAGCTCTCTCTCGTCAATTCCGGTAAGGAATGTTTTGGTTTTTGTCAATTTGTTCTTTTTTAAAATTCCTTGTTGTTTAGGTTTGATATTCTTGGAGCAATGTTTGTTTGTGTTATATGAATTCATCAAATTCTACTAGTTTTGATGGGATGAAGATGATAATTGGTGTATATGTTTGATGAAATGTTTGTAGGATTGAGTTAATGAGATGTAGTAAAAGGTGCACTCTATGTGTTTGATGAAATGTTTGATATGCTACTTGTTGTATACATGAAAGCAATGAAGCTATTTTCGTTATATATTACACTAGACCGAATACACACTCGTTATTATGAGATAACGATAGTTATTTCTTTTTAAAAATCGATAGAATCTATTAAAAATAACTTAAATTATGACTATAACGAATAAAATATCGTTATAATGTATCAAATAGCGAAGGTATAGGTGTATTTAATTGACCGGGATGGAAATATAACCATAACGAAAATAACAATCGTTAAAGTAGAATCGTTTATTAGTTATGTTGAAAATCATAAAAAATGTGTGTGTTATTGATGTATGCATGTTGTACTTCTTAATTTCAAAATATAATAATGTGCATGTGATTGTTTTAATTTATGATTGATGTTGTAATTTTTAATTTATGAAATACGTTGTCTTTTTTCTATGCTTTAAGGAACCGAAATGGAGTATGCTTTTGACATACCTTCTACATGCTCCGGAGTCGTGACCAATAGGTGCGACCTCAAGGTTGTGAATCACGTATTTGAGGAGCTAGATGATGAACATCAAGATCTGTTTTTGGAATCTTGCTTCCGCCCATTAGTGCACATTCCGGAGTTGAAGTTGTCGTCTCAAATTATCCACCACCTTCTTATGAGGACCTTGAAATCATCCGATAACGAAAAACATGCCGTGTGGTTTAAGTTTGGAGAAAACCAAGCTAGACTCGGGTTACAAGAATTTTCTCTTGTAACCGGATTAAAGATCGTGGATGATCCCGAGTACGAGGTCCCCGAAAGAAGTAGTTCACTTTTGCATCTATTCAAAAAGAAGCGTGGGAAGATAATGAGGAAGGATTTGCTTGAGAAATTTGATAATTTGAAGAAGAAGGAACATGCACACTTGAAATACAAATTGGGGCTTATCACGGTCCTCGAGCACGTGATTTTGTCTGCAGAGTGTCGGACTCTCGTAAGTGAAAAATGGTTCCATTTGGTTGAAGATTTGGAGCATTTCAATAGTTATCCTTGGGGAAACTTATCGTATGGGTACACCGTAAAGTTGTTCAAGAGGAACACTTTCGGTAAAATAAAAAACCTAAAGCTGATAAAGTATTCTCTTCACGGATTTCCCCTAGCTATCATGGTATATTTGATATAAATATATGTTTATGCTATTTCTTATTTATTTATGTTAGTTGTATTCTTAATGTTGTTTTGTTGTTTGGTAATCAGGTTTGGGCATTTGAGGCACTGCCAGAGTTAGGAAGACAATTTGGTGAACATTGTTCTACTGGCAGACTTCCAAGAATAATGTGTTGGAAAATGGATAAACATTTGAGAAGCGAGCAACTTACTACGTTTTTTTAACACTTCAGAGGTAATTTTAGTTATGGATAATTCATCTTATTTATTCTTATAGTTTTGAAAAAACTAATTATTCTACAATCAGGTTCAAGTTCGACGAACGTTACAACCTTCAAGTGATGAAGTTGAAACTTCATACTTGAAGGATTTCAGCATAACTTCAGAGGAACAAGAAATTGTGCTTGACGATGAGGAAGAAGAAGAAGGAGAAAAAAATGAGGCTGAGAATGAGAATGAGGATGGTGAGGAAGAGGAGGAAGAGGAAGAAGAAAAAAATGATACATCTCAATCCGATCCACCACAAACCTAAGTTTTGGATGCTGAAAATATTCGAACTATAGTCAGGGAAGTTGTGACGGAAGTTGTGAAGGACGAGATGAGAATATTTTCTGAGCGAATGGAGATGAAGATGGAGATGAATATGGAGCGAATGGAGATGAAGATGGACATGAAGATGAACAATTTTTTTGACCGAATAGAAAAATTAGTATTTCAAGCAAAAGCTGGTCCATCTACCCGTGCTACCTATGACGGGACAAATGTTGATGAACAGGTTGAACCGGAGATTAATATGCGGGATACGGAGACCGGTCGAACAATAGATGGTGTTGAAGGTATTTTTTTAAAATAAATGCATCATATCAATGTTCTTACTCGATTATTAAAAAAAAATAGAAGAAGTTATTGTAATATTTTTTACATAAAGATATATTTTAAAACAAATGCAACATGTTATTGAAACACGTATATTTTTTTTCTTTTGCAGACACGGTAAAATCACCATCTCCGATGCCCCAACAAGAAATGGTTGGACTTAATGATGATGCGGGTATGTAAAGTATAATTGTAACTACTACGTAATTTGATTGATGGTGCATATTGTAAATAAATGAGTATTGATTGTTTTTTGCTTATTGTAGGTTTTGTGACTTGCCCGTCATCAGCCATTGTTATTTACCAAGAGAGACAACTTGGGACACCGATGGAGATAGAGAAAATCGTTGTAGACGATCAACTTGAGTCTCCTGAGATAGAGAAAATCGTTGTAGACGATCCAGTTGAGTCTCCTAAGGGGAGAGGGCTCCGGAAGAAAAGACCGGCTGCCGTTTTATGTACTCCGTATAGAAACATTGAAAAAAGGAAAAAAATTACAATTGTGACGGAGTACGACCCTTTTAGGCCAGTGGATCCAGCTAAACTTGAAGATCTCCAAAGCTGGTTGTCGAGTACTCCTGAAAGGTATGTAATTGTGTTAAATTTAATTGTGGGCTACTTATTGTAATATATAAGCGTGTATGTCTTTGTTTAATGTATTCTTTTTTATGTAGTCTTGGAGTTGAGTTGTTCTCTGGTGGTATAGCAAATAAAGATTTTTTAATGAACTTGTGAACGATGGATGGCTTTCTAGCGAGGTAAACTATTTACAAATGTTTATTCGATATTTTACCTTTGAAAAGCGTGATATTCACTAATGCAATAAACATTATACTCTTAGCATGTAGATGAAGCACTTTTCACATTCGAGAGCGGTCTAAACAGTTCCCTCTCTTGTTTAGACAAGATTGTGCTGTTTTGGACACGGTTTTTGTCTTGTGCGTGAGAAATTTCTTCAAGGATATGTCGAAGACTAAAAGATTTCCGAAGGCCTTGACTAGATACGCCACAGGGGAGATACCCAATAATGCAAAGTCGTGGACTGATTGTGCGAAATTGTATGTTCCTTTCTGCAAAGAGGGCGATGGCCACTGGATCGCACTAGAGATTGATCTATTGCACAGATGCATTTACGTCTATGATAGCGAAACAAGTGTCATGCGGAAGGCACAACTGGAAAAGCAACTTGAGCCCATTCGAGTTGTGGTACCAATGATACTGACGAAGGTGAATGCTAAATACGGTGATGAAAAGTTTGGTTGGAAACGGTTGACATCTCCTAGCCAAAGCAATGGGTACGTATAATATGTATTTTGATCATTAAGTTTTAAGTGTATTATGAAATTTGGTAAAGTAATAGAATTTGGACATTTATGGTGCAGGTTTGATTGTGGGATGTTTACAATCAAGTTTATAGAATTTTTGTATGCTGGGAAGAATGTTGAAGACGTAGATCAATCTCGTATGAGTACTTGGCGTGAAAAACTAGCTGCTGAGATATTTGGTGCTCATTTTGATCCATAGTTTGTTTTAAACATTTAATATGTAACGAGTTGTATGGATCTTTTGGATAATACATTGTTGTATTATTTTTTCATGTGTTATTTAATGCAATGGTTATTTTTCATGTGTTATTCAATGTAACGGGTGGTCGATTTTTGAAGTTGTATTTTATACGTACTTCCAAATGCAGTAGTTATAATAGTTTTTTATCAAAATGGTTAAAAATATATCTGTAACGAGAAGTTTTAATTAAATAAATAGCAAAGAGGTTCGATGCCGAGCTCCCGAAAATAAGTCGAGGAACCGTTTAAAAGGCATTTGAAAAATAAAAACAAAAAAAAAAATTTGTCGAGACCGCGACGTCTGTCGCAGCCGCGACACTGCGACAATATTATCTGTCCAAATTTTGTCATCGTATGCCGCGCCCGTGACATTTAGTATTTAAATATAACGAATATAAAATCGTTTTTTTCTATGAAATAACGATTAAATATTCGTTATTTTGCAAAAAAAAAAAAAAAAATCTTGTCGCGGCCGCGACGTGTATCGCGTTCGCGACACTGGGACAACATTCACTGTCCAGGTTCTGTTATTGTTTGTCGCGCCCGCGACGATCGTCGCGCCCGTGACATGTAGCTATTTCAAAATAACGAATATAAAATCGTTTTTTTATATGAAATAACGATTACATATTCGTTATTTTGCAAAAAAAAAATAAAATCTTGTCGCGGCCGCGACGTGTATCGCGGTCGCGACACTGGGACAACATTCACTGTCCAGGTTCAATTATTGTTTGTCGCGCCCGCGACGATCGTCGCGCCCGTGACATGTAGCTATTTCAATATAACGAATATAAAATCGTTTTTTATATGAAATAACGATTAAATATTCGTTATTTTGCAAAAATAAAAAATAAAATCTTGTCGTGGCCACGACGTGTATCGCATTCGCGACACTGGGACAACATTCACTGTCCACGTTGTCGCTGGCGCGACGTCTGTCGCGGGCGTGACTAAGGCCAACCACGCATGCGCGATAGGCGTTGCTATCGCGACACCAAATACAAGCTCCAGAAGCCCGCGACGGCCTGTCCCGGGCGCGACACGCTTGCTGTCGCGGGCGTTTTAAATTTTTTAATTTTTTCTATTTTTCTTTTCTTTTGTGAAATAATGATACATGTTTTCTTTTGTAAAATATTTGCAAATTCTTTATTTGACATGAAAAAAAGACAAAAATTAGACCGATAACGAGTTTAATATCTTCATAATATGTTATACGACAAATTAAGGTCTCGTTGAAGGTGGATTTGGTCGAAAAACAACTATAACGAATGTACAGTCGTTATTTTAATGTTATAACGAATGTACATTCGTTATAATTGTTTCCCGTAACAAAACGCGTTTTCTTTAAGTTTTTTTCGATCGAAATACCTGATAACGCATGTATATTCATGTTACATGTCATTGAAACGAAAGTTTGAAGTTGTTAGATCGTCGAAACCTTCATCATGGAACTCTTTTCTTCAAATGACACTTGTTTTTTTTAAAAAAAAAATGGAAATATGATGTAAAATCTTTGTAAATTCGTTAGTTGTTAGAGCGTCGAAATAATGATTTAACAATCGTTTTTTGTACAAAATAACAATTCTATATTCGTTATTTCATACATGATATTTAATAGTGTTTTGAAGATATTAAACTCGTTATCGGTCTAATTTTTGTCTTTTTTTCAACAAAATCGACCTTAAACGATCGTTATACCTATAATGCAAATCATAGCCAAAACATCACAATACCTATAATGCGAATCATATCAATCATATCAAGCTCAAAGCCACAAACGAAAGACAAACCAAATCAAATGTCGCATCCAAAAGACAATCCAAATCCATAAGAAAATACAAAACCAAAAAAGACAAACCACATCCATAAGTCAAACAAAATCCAAAAGATAAAACTGATAATTATGAAGTCTTGCATAAAAGTCTTTGCCTAAAAACAACGCACTGTCACTGTTCACCCGGTGCATCCGATGGTTGAGGTGGAGGTGGTGGGTAGGGTAGACTGGTGCCTGAACTCTTGCGAACGTCCCATTGTTGGAATTGGTCGTCCCATTGTTTCCACTGATCAAATTGTCGAGACTCCCATTGGGTCCATCGTTCATTGTGTTGTGCCCATTCTTTACTATTGCCCTCGATGTACGTACGTATCATGGCATTATGCTCCACCCAACGCCTAGCATTATTCTCAACCCAAGTATCGAGCCTCTTGTTGTGCTCCACCCAACGCCTATCATTATCCTCAACCCAAGTATCGAACCTCTTGTCGTGCTCCTCCCAACGCCTATCATTATTCTCGATGAATGTATCGAACCAAGCGGGGGCTTGTTGAGATCGCGCGTCCGGAGCGCCCGCGTCAACTGTCGAAGGGAGGAAATAGTTCGCCTGGTTGGCCTGTTCTTCTTCGTCCTCCGCTTCGTCCCCCGCCTCGTCCTCGGAATGAGGTTGTGTCTGCGAGGAACCACCTTCTCCGGATGATTTTTTCAATTCCCTCAAATATTCCTTGTAGCAAGGACGACTTTTATAATCAATGATCGTGGCGCTGTCCTTAATGAGATAGGCTTAGGTCAAATCCCACAACCCGATCTTCTTCGTTTGAAGCGGCACTTCATCAATTTGAACCTTGAAGTGCTTAGCGAGCCCGGTGACGATATTGGCCAATCTCGCAGGGCGCGAGGCGAAGACTTTCGTGCACCGGAGTGTCTTATAATGAATGCAGTCATGCAAATAGGCTTCTTTGCAGTCATTGCCCACAAGATATAAACTTCTTGCTCGCTAACCTTATTGGAATCTTTCTTGCCAAAAATGTTGTAGCATAAAAATTTATGTACCACCGCAATAGCCACATCTTTGATTAGCCCATTCGATGGGCCCTTGACTTTGAATTTATCGCATGGAGAGAAAACGTACCAAGACTTGTCCACCTCAAAATCACCGGGTACTTTGCGAGACCCCGTCGTGCGGAAACCAAATACCTCATGCATCACCTTGTTATCAACTTTGTATTCATTACCTTTCATCCGGCAAGTGAAATACTTGCCGTTGTCGTGTGGTACAAATGTGGTAGATGATTCAACCGCTAGTTCCACGCATGCCACATTGTCCATGGCTTCGTACTTGTCAAGATTGAGGGCCTTCAAGTATTTCCTCACGTCATCCGAGATTTTTAGCGAGTCTAGCAACTCCCAATCAAGTATCCTTGGGATCCGGCATTTCATTTTCATGAGGCATTTGTATGAGTGCACCTCATCTTGAGAGAAAACTGGGAATGGAATGCCGTGCCTTTCAGCCAAAGGTTGAGTTTCGGCATCCGAGTTTGAGTTGCTATTGTTTGAGTCCGGTGAAGAAGGTGGGGTTGGGGTTGCTATAATTGCTTTTCTCTTGCCTCTGGAGGGAGCTTTGGAGGGAGCTTTTGATGACGAAGCCTTTCCCATGGTCGGTTATGGAATACCCACGAATGAAGTAAGTGGATGCAAACGATATAGCCCTCTTGCCTAGTTGTGTCAATTTGTCGAACACCTTGTGTGCGAAATAATGTGTTTGCAAATTCTGAAAAAAAGTAAAGAGTTAGGTTCCTCAAACCACAAACAATTAATGGTTGTAACTATATAATCTTCAAGCAATTAGCATGACCTTACCGTGCATTGAAGCTGAGAGGACGATGTTTGTCGGAATGGGCTTTTGACAAAAAGGCTTACGAGATTGTGACCTTGCCGGAATATAAGTTGCCGGAAAGAGTTTCCTCGCCGGTCGGAATAGTTGGCCGAAGGTGGTGTTGTCGTCGGTCGAAACTTGTTGATGAAAGGAACGAAATTGATTGGAGGGTTTTTTTTATTATCGCGGGTTTTTTTTTTTTTTT